ATCAAGGGCATGTTCCTGGGTTGCGGGCACATCCCCAGTGGGGGATGTGCAGGAGGCGGCTGGTCGATGTTTCTCTCTCATCGATGTTTCTGACTCTCTATATCTCTCCCTTCCTCTCTGTAAAAAAAATAAAAAATATATTTAAAAAAATAAAATAAATTAAAAAAAGATATTTGAGATATATAAGGGTGTCCCCCCCCCAAAAAAAAATTTGTACATACACTTTGAATAATATTTCATTCCAATGGGTTAAATTTCAAAAGAAAGAAACATCAAGTGGGCTATCAGCTGTTAAATATGTATACATTTTGGGGGGACACACTGTATTTTCAGATCACTTGGTAAATGGGCCAGAGTAGCACACCCAAATGAGAAATGTGTTGCCTCAAAAATCCAGAGGCTCATTAGATGTTGTGCCTCTTTTTTTGTTTTGGAGGGGCCAGACACAATTTACCCTTCACCTCAGAGAAGTTTTGACAAGCCCCATATCACTGATTCCTAAAATTTCACTGTGGTAGAAGGCACCTGAATTTTGTCAGATTTATTTCCCACCCTGATATGCAAATGTATCACCAATAAGTCTAGAGCTATGTATGCTGCCAGGAGGGTACTAGAATGATCAGGGGGATCACTTCGTTAATTATATAATTGTCTATCCACTGTTCTGTACACCTGGAACTAAAAAATAAAAAAAAGTATAATTCTTGTTCACTTGATCTAATCAGCACAATGTCATCACTGTGCTGGACCAGGGTGATAAGTTGTTAAAGGGAAAAGTGAGGAGTCCTGTGAAATAAATTGGGACATATAGGACTAGAGAACTGATACACCCCTCAGGGAGAACAGTGAAGGTGTGTTGCTGGCCATGCCAGCTGATAGCAATCTGCTTGATGGTCTATATCAGTGTCGGCAAACTCATTAGTCAACAGAGCCAAATGTCAACAGTACAATGACTGAAAGTTCTTTTGAGAGCCAAAATTTTTAAACTTAAACTAGATAGGTAGATACATTGTTATTAACTTAATTAGGGTACTCCTAAGGCTTAGGAAGAGCTACACTCAAGGGGCCAAAGAGCCTCATGTGGCTCGTGAGCCACAGTTTGCCGACCACGGGTCTATATTAACAAGCCTGGAGAAAAAAGCACTGGCCAAGTCAATAGTTGCATCCCAGGTACCAGGGAATGTGTTAATTTGCTCAAGCAAAGAAACCACATCTGGAACAGCAGCTGCAGAGTCACCATCTGGTTAAGCTTACAGCAATCTACTGTCAGGCTTCAAGATCCACCTGCTTTCTGCACAGGCAAATAAGCGAGTTGACTGGGGATATGATGGGAATCACCTCCTGGATCTTTCAAGTCCTTGATGATGGCACTAATCTCCAATCCCTTGAGGAATGTGGTGTTGCTTTTGGTTTACTATTTTCCTGGGTAGAGGTCACTCTAGTGGTTTCTATTTGACCCTTCCTCCCATAATATCCCTCATTCCACAGGTCAGGGAACCAACGTATGAATTCATCAACTGCTGAGTATATTTCTTTCAACTATGTATTCTGGAATGAGGGAAATAATTCGTGGCTGGGTTTGGGGACCCACTAGGCCCACTGTGGGATGGATCAGAGTTAAAACTCCATTGACTACCTGACCTTCATAAGCCCCTGCTCTGACTGGTCAACATCAGCGATGTGTTGGACCTTTTGAAATTCATGTCGGCTCAAAGCCAATGTCCAGTAACTCTGAAAACTTGGATTATTTCCTTTCCCTAATGCAGTTATCCTGGTAAAATGCTAATGGCATTTGTTGACCATAGACAAACTTTTGGCTTGATTTGGAAGTAACACTGGAGTGTGTGGAAGTCAGGTAAATATTACTATACTGCAGAGCAGAAAACTAAAAACTATTAGACATCTTGATCTTAAAAGTCCCTCACTTCTTTCTCCAGAAGGAATATCCCACTGGCCACCCCTCATCAGGCCACCCCCTCCTTCCCTCCTTCAGCTATGAAGCTGTCACCCGCCTCCTTTATTTTTCTTATCTCCAGGCCTCCTCACCAGCTTTCTTCAGGACTGTAACCAGAAACTCAAATTTTCTTCCTCCTTTGTAAGCAAAACAATTCACTGCTCTCTTTACCTTGGAGTCTAACCCATTCTGGCCATTTCCTAACAACCAAAATGCTCACCGATCAGATTCAATGTTTGAAAAGCCACATGATCTGACAGTGTTAGTAAACGTAAACACTTACGTCACAGGGTCTGTTCTTTCCGGAGGTGGTGGGACATTCATAAACATAGGTGGCTCAACAGTTTTCTGAAGAGGTTTTAACTGAAAAAAATGGTAAGTATATTTTAACACTGTTTAACGACAGTTACAGTTCACCCTAATACTACTATTCTCCAGGACTATAAAATAGGCCTTAAATAATACATATAAGGAGAAAAGAAATTAAAATAGGAAGAAAGAACTAATATCTACTGAGCACTAAATATCTGCCAAAAGGGGAACTAACCTGATGTGAAAATCCATAACCAAAGTTTCCATAGGAGAACATAAAGTCCACCTCCATCCTGCAGACAAACTAAACATGTGGCAAACTTACTTTATTGTTTGATCAGAAAAATATTTTAATAAAGAAGTGATAACAAGTGATATTTTTACTTCACAAATTTATAAGTTAGAAAAACCAAAGCATGAATCTCCTGATTTACAAACAAAACAAAAACAAGCTAATAAAAAAACCCACATTTACACAAGGAAATCTTAGTAAAAATCTATGAAATTACTGAAATTTTAAAAACTTTTGGGTTAAAGTTAGGAATGTTATATGACTAAAATATGGAGAATATCAATTTATAATTGTTAATAGGATTATGCAGAGATACATATATATGTATGTATATATTCATATACATGTATATATATATTTTAAAGTATTTACTCACACTTCTCTCACCTCCACTTCCATTTTCAGATAATATTTTGATTCAGACACTGAACTCAGCTTGCTAATATGTAAAATAAAGGAGGGTGTCAGAGGTTATAACCTCAAATGTCCATCATTCTGGTTTTTTGTTTGTTTGTGTTTTGGTTAATCTTCACCCCATGATATGTTTCCATTGATTTTTTTTTTTTTTAGAGAAAGTGGAAGGGAGGGGGAGTGAGAGAGAGAGAGAAACATCAATGTGAGAGAGACACATTGATTGGTTGCCTCCCGCACGCGCCCCAATCAGAGCCGGGGATCAAGCCTGCAACCGAGTTCCATGCCCTTGACCAGAATTGAACCCAGGACCCTTCAGTCCACAGGCAGACACTCCACCCACTGAGCCAAACCAGTCATCATTCTATTTTTTATGTCCTTGTCCCTGTTTTTGCTATTGGCAGCAGAAGCCTCTCTGAATAGAAGTGCAATTAGTCAAGATAACAATTATAAGTACTTAAAAAGAAATTCAAGTCAGAACTGTAAACAACTCTTCAGAAACTCCTCAAGGAGAAAAGTACAGTTTCCTCTGCAAGGGAGGATCCTGAGGCTGTGCAGTCAAAGGAGCAGTGAAGGCATCTTGCTCTCTTCCCCAATGATTCTCAATTTCTCATTCACCATTTAGCAGTCGGATAGTTTTTTTTTTAAAGGTGGAGATAAAGTTTTTATGAATAAATATTGTACTTTCTATTTAATATATTTCCATTAATTCAAACAGTGTCTAGCAGGATACCAAAAGAATAAAAACAATAGAGGCTACAAACAGTATCAGAGTAAAGTTATAAAATGTTAATTAAGTATGGGCAAAAACTTTGGAAGTTTCAGTAAAGCTCTTACTGTGTTTTCCTTCAACATTTGAAATTCTTCAGTAAAGCACCCTTTCTAGAAAAAAGTAATAAATAAAATTCTTAAATACAGACTCACTCATGTATATAATCTAAACCATTTCATAAATTTAAAAAAAATCAGATAATGATTTTAATGCACATACTAATTTAATAGCTAATTACAAATAAAATGAATATTTGGAAGGAAATCAAAATTCTAGGTTGAACCAAAAATAAATATTTATATTTGTTTTAGAAAAAAATCTTCCTGCTAGTTATAGGTCCTCCTTTTGGAAGTCTTAAAGGACCTGCCTACAGTACTTTCAGGAATCATTTCTATAGTTTGTGATTGAAGGGTTACTTAAAACATAAATTTAAAAACACACACACACACACACACACACACACAAAACAAAAACCATAAACCTACATGCTAAGCTGACTCCTGACAGAACTGGGGGCTTCTCTCATCTTTCAGGGACTGTTGGGATCTTTTAAGCCAGGTCACCATCTCTGGTCATCTCTGCTGTGCTATCAGTTCTCCCACCAATCCAACACGCCACAGTTCCCTTCCTTCCCAGCATCTTCCACCGCGACTCGTGAAATTCCCATTCCATGATTAACAACTTTACATCTTTTTTAAAATATATTTTTATTAATTTCAGAGAGGAAGGAGGAGAGAGAGTGAAACATCAATGATGAGAGAGAATCACTGACAGGCTGCCTCCTGCATGCTCCCTACCGGGGATCGAGCCCACAACCCGTGCATGTGCCCTGACTGGGAATTGAAAGGTGACCTCCTGGTTCATAGGTTGACGCTCAACCACTGAGCCACGCAACAACGTTCCACCTTTAACGGATCCACTATACATCCCCCCTTTACTTTACCTGAGACCCGGTTCACCACTGAACTCCAGTGAATGCCCACCGACCTCCAGGTCAGGAGGTGGGGTGACATCCTCCACACTCCCTTCTGCTGCTTCCAAGTAGATAGGAACAGTTTTCCTCTTTTAAGCCTCATGCTATCTGGCCTCTCTTTCAGACATTCCAGTCACTAATCACTAATTCTCAGTTAGTGAAACATGGATCAGTCAAAATAATAAGAACCAATATACACTTCCCCTGGATTAAACACCGTCTAATTTAACGAGTGTGTTAAACTGTTTTAACAGCTGGCCACGTTTATGTTGTCTGTGTGTCCATATACACGTTTACCGCACAATTTAGAAGTTGCAGCGTCATCTCACTTGACTCCTAAATGTCCAACTCCCCCCTGCATACTGTAAAGATGAGGATAGCCTTCCACACGACCACAGTATTGGCATCAGACTTCAGAGAATTAACAACTTTAGAATTTTATCTAATATGCAGTATATATTCAAAATTTCAATTTCACAAGAATGGCTTTTGTAACTTTTTCAAATTTGTATTCAAAGTTGTTGTATCTCTTTTTAATCTTGAACAGTTGCTCCATTTTTTTTTTAATGACTTATCTTTTTAAGGAAGCAACGCTGGTATGTCTCCCATATGCGTTTACCTGACCACGTCATCATTTATCTTTTCCCTCTTCCCTAAACGTTAGGTCAGGTAGGTCTGACTCAGGTTAGTACTTAAACGTTTTGGTGAGAATAATTTCTAGGTTGCGTACATCATATTGTTCCACGTTAGGTGTTAAATTGTCCACAATCTCTATGCTAAGCTTAAGCTCTTGGTTGAAGTGGTAGCCACCACATCTCTCTACTGAACAGGCACTTTCCCCTTTGTAATAATTAATCTGTGGGCTCTTACTGTGTGGCACCATACAAATATATTATTCCCCAAGTACCTTTTACCTAATGTTTCTAGTACCACTGCTAACTTTTTTTAAAAAATATATTTTGACTTTTTACAGAGAGGAAGGGAGAGGGATAGAGAGTTAGAAACATCAATGAGAGAGAAACATCAATCAGCTGCCTCCTGTACACTCCCTACTGGGGATGTGCCCGCAACCAAGATACATGCCCTTGACCGGCATCGAACCCGGGACCTTTCAGTCCACAGGCTGATGCTCTATCCACTGACCCAAACCGGTTAGACCCACTGCCAACTCTTGACTGAATTTATTTACTATAAAAAGTTGTAAAAATGGTGAGTTTGTAATTTTGTCACTCCTTCTACATTTATAACTGGCATTCTTCTGTTTAAAAATAAAAAGCTTCCCTTTTTCTTCCCAGTCTCTCTCTCTTCTGTCATCACCAAGGATTCATTGATTTTTCCTTATTCGAAATTTGTAATGTGGGAGGGAACACTCCTAGGAAGGAGAAAGCAAAAGAGAAAGACTCATAAAATCTGTATATAAACTCTGTCCAAAACTTTCGCTGACTCCTAAATGACACAAGCACAGGGCAGACAGCAAGCAGCCCAGCTAAGGATAAAAACTAAATTTATGCTGCCAACTAAGAGGTAGAGTTAGTGGTTTGAGTCTTACTTTAAAATATTTCAGAAAGCGTAATAAAACATGCTTAATTTTTCAGGTTGTATCACTGCCATAAAATTTCAAAAACATTACGCTGTTATAAACCAAATCTCTCTCTCTCTCTCTCTCTATTTTTTTTTAACAGCCAGAGGGAGATAATGTTTCCTGAGCACATGAGTTTGAAGGCAGATAATAAACAAAAGGAATTCATCAGGTACAGGTAAATCTTAACAATAATCACCAACTGGACAATGTAATACCAAAGTAAAAATGTATTTGGATACATACCTGAATTACTTCATAAAGGTGTACCTCAACACGCCCTAACAAAATATGCTTTTCTTTATTATCAAATTGCATTAGATCCAGGTAAATATTATTCCGTGCATCATTCTGACGTCTGGGAACCTTGATAGAAAATACATATAGAAAGAAGCATTAAATTTTCAGTCTGAATTTCGGATATAACTTCTGAATAAATACATCCATAAACTATATTATATTATGTGCATAGTCTAATGATTAGTTTTCATATAATTAGTCATAACTTTTCAAACTCAGTCACTTATACCCTAATCACACAAAAATCAGAATCTTCTTTATGTCTAATGTCAATTACAGTCTTTTTGAAACACCCATGCCTACATTCTCTCTCTTTTTTTAATCCTTACTTGAGGATATATGATCGATTTTAGAGAGAGGGGAAGGAAGAGAGAAAGAGAAAGAGAGAGAGATGAGAGAACATAGGTTGCCTCCCATATGCACCCTGAGTAGGGATTGAACCCACAAACTAGGTATATTCTCTGGCTGCGAATAGAACCCGCAACCTTTCAGTTTACAAGACAATGCTACAACCAACTGAGCCATACCAGCCAGGGCTACATTTTCTCTTTTACCTCTATACAGAAGTTTAGCCTTAACACTCTACTGAAACTGTAATATTAAAGGTAATCCAATACCCAACCCAAGTAATCTAAGTAATCCAAATATCCAATACCAAAAGACATCCAACATCCCTTTCAGTCTTTTTTTAAAAAAACTTTTTGATAAAATGGACATCGTTGTCTCAACTTGGAACTTTGAAACCTGTAATACCATTACTATGTCACCTTTAAAAACCATACTCTCTTGCTAATTAGAAAAATATCTCATGCCTCCCTACCCCAAGATTCTAAGTGTTTAAAAAATTTAAGTGATATATAACTGACATCATTGTATTTCTTTTAGGTGTGCAAATAATGATTTGATATTTGTATATATTGCAAAATGATTATCACAATAAGTTTAGTTACCATCCATCACCATACAGTTAGAATTTTTGTCTTGTGGTGAGAACTTTTAAGATCTAGTCTCTTAGCAATTTTCAAATACACAATATAGTATTATAACTATTGTCACCATGCCATACATTAGATACCCAGAACATATTTATCTTATAACTGGAAGTTTGTACCTTTTGATCACCTTACCCATTTTGCCCACCCCAAAACTCCACCTGTGGCAACCACCAATCTGTTCTCTGTATACAAGTTAGGTTTTGGTTTTTTGGTGGTGGTGGGTTTTTTTTAAGATTCATATTTATATGAGATCATGCACTATTTGCTTTTCTCTGTCTGACTTATTTCACTTAGCATAATGCCCTCAAGGTCCATTCATTTTGGTGTAAATGGTAGGATTTCTTTCTTTTTTATGACTAAATAATATTTTATTAAAAATATTTTAAACCTATTCATCCTTGATGGATTCTTACGTTTTTTCCCCCATGTATTGGCCATTGTAAATAATGCTGCAATGAACACGGGAGTGAAGATATCTTTTCGAGATAGTGATTTTGTTTTCTCTGAATAAATACCCACAAGTAGAATTACTGGGTCATGTGATAATTCTATTTTTAATTTTTAAAATATACTTTTATTGATTTCAGAGAGGAAGGGAGAGGGAGAGAGAGATAGAAGCATTGAAGAGATAGAATAATTGATCAGCTACCTCTGAGCCACGCTGGCTAGGCTGTAAATACTCTTTTTAAAAAAATATATTTTTTATTCACAGACAATAGGGTGCTGAAGGCCTGGGGTGGGGAGGCCAGGGGCTGGCTGGAGGGAGTTAATGGGGGGAAAAGGAGACATATGTAATACTTTCAACAATAAAGTTTAAATATATATTGAATTTAAAATTGTCAGGCTAAACAGAGAGGGAAATATTCACCAGTGAAGAAGGGAGAGGGAGGGGGGGGGAGAGGGAGGGAGGAAGGGAGGGAGAGGGAGGGAGAGAGAGAGAGAGAGAGAGAGAGAGAGAGAGAGAGAGAGAAATATCAATGATGAGAAATGAGGTTTTTCCATAGTGGCTGCACTAATTTACATTCTTATCAACAAGGCACAAAGTTTCCCTTTTCTCCAAATCCTTGCCAACTTTGGCAATTTCTCATCTTTTAGATCATAATCATTTTAACACGTGTAAGGCAACATCTCACTATGGTTTTGATTTGCATTCCCCTGATAATTACTGATGGTGAGTACCTGTTGATCATTTGGATGGCTTCTTTGGGAAAATATCTCTTCAGATCCTCTGTCCTTTTTTAATTGTTTTTTTTCTATTAAGTTGTATCAGTTCATATATTTATAAATATTTGGATATTAACCTTTTATCAGATATATGATTTGCCAATATTTTCTCCCATTTTGTAAGTTGTGTTTTCATTTTGTTGATGAGAGATGTATACTCTCATTTTGCTAGTGAGAGTATACATATTTGAGGGGGTTATTATAAAGACTGAAGAAATTAATGCATGCAAAAATAATTGGAGAGATTTTATATAAGAAAAAAGAAAAAGGGGAGATGAGAAAAAATGGTGTGCTATGAACGGAATGTCTCCTCAGAATTCATGTTGAACCCTGAACCCCCAGTGTGATGGTATTTGTAGGTGGGGTGTTTGGAATGTAATTAGGTCATGAGGGTAGAGCCCTCATGAACTGGATTAGTGCCCTTATAAGAAGAGACACAAAAAGGATGATCTCTCTTTGCTCTCTGCTACACTACAACAATGAGCAGAGGGCCAGCTGCAAACCAGGAAACAGGCTCTCATTAGACAAAAGATCTGCCATCACCTTGATCTTGAACTTCCCATTCTCCAGAAAGATGAGAAATAAACGTTTGTTGTTTAAGCCACCCAGTCTACAGTAATTTGTAATAGGAGCCCAAACGGATTAAGACAGGGTAGGCAATGGGGGGGATAGGAGGGTAAGAGCAAGACAGAAAAAATGCATGTGTGATAAATCCCATACAGTAAGATCTCAGGGAAAAAGACCACCAAAATTGTGCATTTTACAGTAACCTATTTATTTTTTTAAAGGGTACTGTTTTTGTTTCTTTCCTATCCCTTCCCAAGGGATATAATTAATGTAGCACATTTGAAACAACTGCATTCTTATATCTAGAAGAAAACGTCAACATTACCTGTACAGAAAAATACTTCACTTCATCAAACTTAATCACAGTTTTCCTTTCATTAATGATAAATGGTATATTTTGGGGTAGCAAGCTACATAGTTTTGTACATTTCACAATGTTGTTTATAGAGATACGAATGAAAAAATTGTTCTCATGCTGTACATCGGCTGAAAACACATATTTAGGAAGCAAATTTTGTTGTAATTAAACAATAACACATTATAAAATTAATCTATTAAACAATTCAGGCTAAAACAAATCAATCAAATAAATAAAGAGGTAATTGTAGAACACATTAAACAATGAAAAGTCCTTTAAAATAGTATTTTTGCCCATCAATGTTAGGTACAATATAACTAGGAAAAGGTTGATTCTTTCTTAGATCAATTTTCATATTTTTATAGTCACATTCCCATTATAATTCCCTCGCAAATTTTTCTATATTTTAAGGTAAATAAGCATTTACAATATATAGTTGAAAATTTTTGGTAAGCATAATTATATAGAAATTTTAAAAATATGTCATTTAAGAGTAATTTCTTTTTAATTTTAGGACAAAATTTAAGGCAGCATTCTACTTTAATTCACTACATACTCACTTATACTATATTGGCTTGTTCTTTTCATAGCACTCCATTAAAACAATATTTTTTCATCATTTAACTAATTATCTTCGAAAATCTCTTTATGTAGAATTCTTTTCACTAATCACTTATATAAAAAAGAAACACCAAGTCTTCATAATGAGACTGGGTTTATGCCATGATAAATCCAAGAAGAGGTATTCAGCTTACTTAAGGGTACCAAGATAAATAAATCCGTTTTAAGAGAAGCACAGTTATTTCTTAGAAATGAATTAGTAATATATATTCCAAGAAGACATAATATATATTTTCCTTTAATTTAGATGGTGATTGAGGTGGGTTACCGATGGCTAAAAATTTTTTGTCACTCTCCACATCCAAGAGCGACATTTCTTGTTCTCTGCTCTTGAGTCTCGCCTGGACCAGTGTCTTCTTTAACATGCAATGGACTTGACCAGGCTGGGACTAGGAAAGGCACTAGTCAGGGTGCAAAATTTAAGGAGACACCAACAACTTCAGTAATGAAGATAAATAGTTTTTTAATGTAATATAAAATTAAAATGAATAGAGAAAAAAATAATGCCAATCTTCTAGGCATTTTCACTAAAGCACCAGACACATAAATGAGGCATTTTACATATTCCAGCTTTTCTGACCTGCCAGGTGATTGCAGCCTCAGCTGCGATAATGAAGCAGTAGCACCACCCAGTGAGTGCACATAGAGTGATTAATAATAACACAGTTAATATTCTAAGCCATTAAGTCTTACAGTGTCTTGTAATGTAGTAATATCTAACTGAAATAGTGATATATGATCATAGCATGATTCTTAAAAAGAAAGGATACTCTTAGGTATAAAATGACTGCAGTTCTTTACATGAATAGCCAGACAGCCAACCTATAACAATCAAAATAAAAACACAGTGAATAAATTTTAAAAGTAAGTTTTCTTCCATTTACTCTATACCAAACTACATATTTTTTAAAGCTCTACTTTGTTAGTTTTTCTCATTTGAAATATTGTTTCTCACTAGAAATCTCTAGTGATTGGAAAACACCAGAAAGCAGAAACAGAGAAGAAAAACAGGCAGGATTTGCTTAAGATAAACCTAAAATGAACAAGAATACAAAACTAAACAATGGTTCATTACCAACTTAAATCCAACCATCACTCTTTGAATCATTTTTATTTTATATTAGGTAATAAGTGGTAAAATGTAGCATCTTTCATATAATAATAAGAAATATGCCTTGCTTGAGATAAGCTTTTTTATTCAGTATCCTAAAACCACCTTATTCATTCAACAATTAGTTAACTATAATATGTCAAGAGCTATGAAATATCCATTCTCTCTTACACAGAGTGTTTCTAAATGTTGAAGAAAATTATATCTTGTGTTTAACCTTAAAATTAAATACAAAGTGAGTATAGGAACACTTGAAAGTAATATGCAGGATTAGCCAAATATATTTAGCCACATTTGGCTTAAAAAGAAAAAGAGTAAAAGCAACAGCAATATTATATTAAACATTATGAAACAATATAAATGGCCCCAAAGTATTTTTAAATGTAACTGGCTTTAGAACAATACAGAAAAAGATATTAGCATCCAATATTTAACTAAAAGAATACTGTATCTCCCCTGGCCAGTCTTCTCATTCGTTACAGCATCAACCCACAGACTGAAGGGTTGCACGTACCCTGGTTGCAGGCTCCATCCCGAGTGCCTGTTGGGGCATGAGCAGGAGGCAAGCCATCCATGTGTCTCTCTCACATCGGTATTTCTCTCTCTCTGTCTCTCCCCTTCCCTTCTACCTTCTCTAATAATAAATGAAAAAAAAAAATGTCCTTAGGTGAGGATTAGCAACAAAAAGAATACTGTATCTGAATGATGAAATCCTAAAGAAAAATATTATGATCTACTTTTTAAGGAAATATAGGTACACAATATTATGGTAAAGGAAATGTTCTAAGTTTTCAAATTTAAAGGAGGGGTAATGCCCATTGTATAATGTAGGGGAGATTTAAACTGGTATTGACATAGGTGATTCTACGAATCATTGTTTACTTCTTAAAGTTGGGTTGTACATAAGGAGGATAAACAAGAAAGTATAGCTATAATTTTTTATTGTATAATTCTATACAATGCAAATCACTGGCTGCCTGCCAAGTATCTCAACATGAAGCCATGGGTAGCTACCTTCATCTTCCCTATGTTCCAATAGCTCTTTATACTTTAACATAATGATCCACATAATATAGAAAACAGATTTAACACTCAAAAATACCATAATGACCATTCACAGACTGCAGATAACAAATGTTGCTACAGAATCTGAGACCCACCTGTGGCCCAAAACATGTCAATATCTTCAATATCTTCACCCCCAAACACTCTCAAACATGCATTTAAAACAGGAAAGCAACCAGAAAGCTATTCACAAAACGACTCTTTTTCTTGTTTCTTTTTGTTATTGCTGACACTATTACAGATGTCCCCATTCCCCCACTTTGCCCTCTCCACCCAGCCCCCTTCCCTCCGCCATCACCACACTGTTGTCTGGGTCCTTAACACAAAAGCACTCTGTGTCCAACTTTAAGATACAGCCTTTTCACATTTTTTTTTCTGAAAATGGGATGTGACTATCAGTAACAGAGGTAATGGTTGTCATGTTGTTATCATTGTTGACACATGTGCAAACCTTGCCAAATATCTCAAATCACAGAACTTTCAGAGAGGAAATGGCGTGACTAAATCACGCATTGGGAGGAGCTACCAACTACGTGCCAAACATCTGTCAACAACTTCCAGTGGGCGTTTAGGAGAAGCCTTTGCATGTCTAGCAACATGTAATTCAAATCAGGAAAATACAAGCTATGACGTTAGAAAGTGTGAGTGAGATCTGAAAGGTTTTCAAAATGTCAGTTCTAAAAAGATGTAGAAGTCATATTTAAGAGTATGGATTATGGAAATCACTATGTCAACATAATGACATCCAAATTGCTTATAGCCAAAAGTGATTTCAAAGAATCTTTTCTAAATTTAGATTCAGACAATGAAGGCTTATTCTCCAACTTTGTGATAGAAGAAAGTGTTACATAATTATACAGATAAATGCACACCATGGTCATTTTGTAAAAACAAAAATGTATACATTAATATAACCTTACGATTTACCTCCCAAAAAGGTGATGTTAAATTAATCACGTTTTTTAATCAAAAAAATGTATTAGTATACTATATAATAAAAAACTTATATGCAAATAGACCAAATGGTGGAACAACCAGTGGAACGACTGATCGCTATGATGCACACTGACCACCAGGGGGCAGATGCTCAATGCAGGAGCTGCCCCCAGCCTGCAGGCCCAGGCCAGCTAAGGTGGGTGCCAGCAGGGGGCCTCCCATTCTCTGATCACCCCGCCAGTCACCCTACAGATCAGACCTGATTGCCGGCCAGGCCTAGGGACCCTACCCTTGCACAAATTTCATGCACTGGGCCTCTAGTTCATATACAATAGGAGCTACAGAAGAGAGATAAGAGAACCTTTTATTTCATAGCTATTAACTACTCTAATAAGGCTCAGACAAAAAAGACAACTGTAAAAGAATACCATAGCGTATGGCAGTTCTAAATGCACACAGATCCTCGTGTCCTATACTCTGTGGCACCCAAAACAGAAAACAGATTTTTCTGTTCCTCAGCCTAAATATTAGGTGTTTGTGCATATGTGTTTGATTTTTTTCCCCCTGGGGTTTATTATTTTTTGGATGAGAGAGGTGAAGGGCCAATTTTTAAACTGTAGCTCAAAGGTAACTAAATCTGACAATAAATGCAATCATCTGAAGCAATACCAATTCTAGGCCCCATTAAAAATAAAATACCGATTTTAGGCCCCATTCTCAAATTCTAAGTTAGCAGGTCTTAGGTGGGGCCTGAGAAGCAATGTTTTTAAAAATTATTCCAGATAATTCTTATAAAACTTGACTTTAGGAATCCCTAATATAGAAAACACTTTTTTCTTTGAATCAGGATGTTTTCCATAATTTCAGTGATCACTAGAATGCTGTTCTGACTCATAAAAATGCAACAAATCAATGAGTATGTTATCAGAAAGTACCATTTTCTATGCATACTTTTGATTACCAAACAATAAACACTAACTAGTTTTAATGTAAAGTAAGAAATAACTTATATGGGTTTACTAAGGATTAAATCATACATACCACATCCCCAAATGGCACTAAATTTTCTGGTTTAGGTGTTACTTTTGCTTCTTTACTTTCAGACCCTGTAAAAGTTTTTCTCCGCATCTACAATGTAAATAAATTAAGACTTTAGAAGGCAAAGAAGAATATAACTAAAAGCTATTTCAATTCAATTTTATGAGTCTCTAGTATCAGGTATGATTTTAGGAAGTGGGATATTAATATGACTAGAAAACTCATCCCCACCCTCAAGTTTATCAATAAGCTAGCAGAGAGCAAAGGAGAGAAGTACAGTGTCAAAACAATGAGTTCTTAGCTTAAAAGGACCATCGTTACCACATTCCAGTCTTAATCTTCCAGTCTCAATCTGGAGTAGGTACTGTATCAGATAAAGAGCAGTGATCCTACTTGCAAATTATCCCAATATTTCTTCAGTTATCAGTCATGGAAAGAACTGGAATTTAATCCTTGGAATAGTTAGTACATGTGATGAAACAGTGAACAAATGGTTTGGGGATTTTAGTTATGATTCTCTCCAGAGTAACTTCACTAACTGCTACTTGTGGGTTGGTATTTAACTTTGTTCTAAGGGTTCTAGTCACTACACACAATGGTTAGCCTTAAAAATTATAAGACATTTTTAAAGAGAAAGGGAGAAGGGGGAATTGAGGGGAAAAGCAAGAGGAATAGGGAAAAACTGCCTATTAAAAATATAACTAAGTCTGGTGGTGTTTCTAAGTGGTTAGAGCATTGGCGCTGCAACCAAGGGTCTTGGGGTTCAATTTCCAGTCAAGGGCACACACTTGGGTTGCAGGTTCAATCACCAGCCCGGTCTGGGACATGAGGGAAGCAACCAATAGGTCTCTTTCTTTCTCTCTCCTCCCCCTTCTCTCCCTCCCTTCCACTCTCTAAAGAGCAGTGGAAAAATATCCTCGGGTGAGGATTAACAAACAGAAAAGTAAACAAATACATATATATGTACACACACACACACACACACACACATACATAATCACTTAAAAATTGGCATTTGTGACAACATGGGTGGATCTTGAGAATATCATGCTAAGTGAAATAGACAGAAAAAGTTAAGAATCATATGATTTCACTCATATGTGGGATATAAAACTGAAAGCAACAAATGAACAAATAAGGAAAGCAAACAAAAACTCAGAGACTCAGACAACAGTATGGTGATTATTAGAGGGAAGGGGGTAAGGGTAGTGAAGGATTAAAGGGGTCAAATATATGGTGATGGAAGAAGATCTATCTGACTTAGGGTGGTGAGCATCCAATACAACATACAGATGATGTATCATAGGATTATACTCTTGAAACCTGTATCATACTATTAACCAACTAGAAGCCCGGTGCAGGCATTTGTGCACCGGTGGGGTCCCTCAGTCTGGCCTGCTGGGATCTGGCTGAAACCAGCTCTCTGACATCCCCCGAGGGGTCCTGGATTGCGAGAGGGTGGTTCTTGGGTGACCCACCCCGAAATCAGGTGCCCTCCTCTCTGGTTCTGGATGCATCACCTGAGAACTGCTGCTGCCAAGCGACTGCAGCTCAGCAGCTCCTGCGTTGAGCATCTGCCCCCTAGTGGTCAGTACATGTCATAGCTAATGGTTGGTCGGTTGGTTGCTTAGGCTTTTATATATATAGTTATATTGATGTACTATACAGAAATTGATAAAGAGAGTGGTGGAATAGAATAGAAAGTCCAGGGGGGAAAAAACCCAAATACATATGGCAACATAGTATAAAGGTGACATCACCAGTCCTAAGGGCCAAGATGTGTTTTTTTAAAAATATATATTTTATTGATTTTTTACAGAGAGGAATAGAGCATTAGAAACATCGATGAGAGAGAAACATCGATCAGCTGCCTCCTGCACACCCCCTACTGGGGATATGCCCGCAACCAGGGTACATGCCCTTGACCGGAATCGAACCTGGGACCTTTCAGTCCGCAGGCTGACGCTCTATCCACTGAGCCAAACCGGTCAGGGCTATGTGTTGTTTTTGAAGTAAATGATGTTAAGACATTTATTTGGAAAAAGAAAAGAACGTCAGGCATTGAAAACAAGGGTAACTGAAGTTCCTGGAGTCTGGCCCGTTAACACACACATGAAATCCCACTGAGGACAAGGCTGACGTTCACTGCCCCTAGCTGTGCTCTGCCTGTGAGCACTTTATATGCTTCCCGCCTCCGCTGGTTGGGACAGCCCTGCACGCAGGGCGATCACCGCATTCCTCTAAGGGGCAATGAGGCCAGGCTCTGGCAGGTTAGTGAGTGCCACGAGCCCACAGATACACTCGTGCTCAGGGGTCACCATCTTCCCTCCCTTCCTCCCTGCCCGCACCCCGACCCCACTGCCGTCCCTGGCCCTACGGGTGGCTGGGGCGGGGACAGACTCCCTGGGGCGGGGGGACGGGGTGGGAGTGTAAGGAGAGAGGGGGTGTAGGGGGAGGGGGGACACTCACGTTGTGCTGCCGGTGCCCAGGGCCCTCGCGGCCTGGTCCTGGACAGAT